CTCATGAATCACATACAAATGGAATCATTCAATGCTTAGCTTACATATGCCCTAAAGGTGAGTAACACCAGAAGATTTAGTCATTAATATACATTTTAGGTTTTGTCACAAGAGCACTGCTTGCCAAAATTCAGAACATAAATGTGATCTTTCCTTTCAGCAAGTAGAAGGAACTTGAGAAGAATTCTCTTATCACTTACACCGTCTGAGGAATGAGCTATTAAACCAGGGTTCTGATTTGCTCCTTAAGAGCAACTATGATCTCTTGAACACTAACTTACATATACTAATGTATTCTACTGGTACAATGTGGAATTTTCTTATCAGCAATGTAAGTAAGGAGATGGTTTGTCACAGACTTTATAGGGAAAGGAGAGAGCTAATACAGAAAGCTAATGCATTGAGAGTTCTAGTATTGTTCCTACTCTCTCATTGGGGCTTATCTTTTTATTGTATTCCTATCTTAAAGCCTTCCTGTGGACTTGTGATAATGCTGGATAGACAGAAAATAGTAAGACACAAATTCCATTCTACTTCCCCCTCTTAAAGTATCAATGTAGGAGAAAGCTCTTAAAAAGCAGTGCCTTAGTTTCCCCATTCAAAACATGCCTCAGTACTGTCCATTCATTTATATAGGCTTCATCCTTGTCTGCCAAATCCTTTAGACTGAACTCCTCTCAGTTAAAAAAAACACTGCATTCACACCTCCTCCAGAAAGTTTCTGCTTATATGATTTTATTTTTCAAAAAAATCAGCAGTATGTTAGATTTACATTCAAAGAACACGGATTGAATAATTTTTTCTAACAATATCTATGAGCTGAACAGAAATTCACCTGAAATTCTAAACTGAAGAAATGACGGGCTCAAGTCACCGCTCCTCCAAGTTCCTAGGATTTGAAGAGCCTATGCTCCCATATTTTACCTTCCTTGGACCTGCTACAAGGCACAGGTACTTGGTTCTATCTTACATGTGACATGTTACAATGCTATCAACTGATTATAGTCAGGTAATGACCATAGTGTTCAACTTCTACCTTTATGAGGTACTAGTAAAACCCAGCAAACAATTTAATGACTGGTGAAATAAATCGACAATTAGGAACTCGGCACCAGCATAAGCTACAAATTTTGCCAATAACTGGCACTCACTGGCTAGCGGGCAGGCAACTACAGCTCTCAGAACAACTGGAGGGAGTTCCTTTTGCTGAGCAGTGTCCATCTGTGCTATTATTTGTTTCCTTATATCCAAGTGTACAGGAGTAAAGGAGAACACCTGCAAGGAGGCCAGTAAATTCAAATAATGAGAAGTGGGGGGGAAATGGTCTTGAATGAAACTTCAGAAGCATTACAGTAGCTTAAAATCTTTAGCCAAATTGTTGAATTGAGCCTATCTCCTAAACTTTGGGATTGATAAATATAAAAATGAAAACAGAGATGTAAGAAGAGAGCAAATTTTTTGGTTATCAGAATTATTTTTAAAAGATTTTATTTATTCATAAGAAACAGAGAGAGAGGCTGAGACATAGGCAGAAGGAGAAGCTGGTTCTTTGTAGGGAGTCCAATGTGGGACTTGATCCCAGGACTTTAGGATCACGCCGTGAGCCAAAGGCAAATGCTCAATCACTGAGCCACCCAGGCATCCCAGTTATCAGAATTCTTTTAGCATCTTTATCTTAGGTATTACTAGTGTTTTGTGTATTATTTAAGATTATATATCCTTAAATTTTAAGTGTCCTCCTTTACCGTGTTAAGTTCTTAGCTTTTTTGATTTTTGGAGAGGGAAATGACCACATTTTGTTTTTGAAATAAAAGTGAATGGATAAAACCAAATTCACTTAAGAGGAATTTGTAGAAAGCAATCTGTGCCTTTAGGAAGGATATTTATATTATCATTATTCAAGATCTAGAACTCTTCAGTTTATCTTTTACTCATCTGCAAAACTTGTAAACTGAAAATCATTTTTCTATAGTTATTTTATGTGATCTGCTTTTATAGAGATCTTTATTTTAGGAGTGTGAAGGATAATGAAATGGGGGGAAATAACCTACTCTGAAACTCCTGAAGCTGATGTGACACAGGATGACCAAGAAACCAGACATACGCCAAAATAGGGCTGGCAGCTGGCTCCATCAGTTAGGCCGGATTGCCCGCTGTCCTCAACACACTCTGTATGTTTTCTCCCTTGTGTTCCCTTCTTACGTACTCACAAGAACAATTGAGATTCAGAAAACATGCCTGAAATTTACTCAGAAACCAAGGGAAATTGAGGTGGAGGGGCCTTTCAGTACTGATAGCCTAGATGCAGACAGATCAAAAGCTAAATTCAATTTAAACCACCTCAGGCAGAAAAAGTAATTGAATTAAACTTCCTCTAAATATGATAAGTTTGGGGATCTTAAAACCCTGCACAAAGGACCAGGTTAGAGTGAGCTGTTGCGTATTAAATGGATGCACAGAGCTCTAGCTGGTCCACGACCCGCCCCCCCTCCCGCCCCAGGGAGTTTGATGAGCTCCTCCTGATTGTCTCTATCACTTTACTACTGAGGCTGAAAACTGATTAAGCTGCTTATGGGGCTCCAGGGGCTAATGGTCTGGCCCACCAGGAATACTGCTGTCACTGACTTAAGTAAGCTGCGTGACATAGTGGTTTGGTTATTACAAGGGGGAGAAAAAGTCTGCAAGGCTCAGGAAAGCTTTAAAAAGCAGGTTTTATCATGTGAAATGGATATACTACTTTGACACCCTAAAATGAATATGGAATTTCTCTGATTCTTTCGCTTCATCTGGTATCAAAATTCAGTTTTGAAAGGCTTCCTCAAAGAGTACTCGTGTTGGACCCCACCCATTGTTTTTCTAAAGCACCCTTACAAGACTATATGCATGCCTTTAAACATCTCAAGTGGGTCCTCAGATACTACAGTCAGGTAGAGACCTGGAAAATAGCTAAGTGAATAATGGGTATTTTGATCGATTTTCCTCCTTGCATGCCATTGGGCAATGGTAATTAAAAATATACCTTTTCCCACCCTAGCCAGCAGATCACTACTGCTTGATTATGTAGTAAAGGGTCTGCAGGACTGAAGAAGTGAGAGGAGCTGATGTGTGCAAACAGGTTCAATTAGATGCATGCATGAAATTAAAACACTACCATTCTCTTGGACCTTTCCAACTAAATGCTCTAAAAATAAATGCTTTAAAATAACTTCCCTCCCTTAGGGTATACAAAGAAAACACAAAAGTCTTTAAGTTAAAAAGCAACAGCAGGGACGCCTGGGTGGCTCAGTGGTTGAGCATCTGCCTTCCACTCAGGGCATGATCCTGGGGTCCTGGGATTGAGCCCCATGTTGGGCTCCCTGCATGGAGCCTGCTTCTCTCTTGGCCTGTGTCTCTGTTTCTCTCTCTGTGTCTCATGAATAAGTAAATATAAAGTCTTTTAAAGAACACACACACAAAGAAATTTAAAGTCTTGGAAAATGACAGAAGGATCTGAACAGTTTTTTAGTTGACCTCTTTTCCCTGGGTAACGCAACCAGTGAGGAAAACAACAAACAGAACAGAATTGGTGCAGTTTGAAATGCTCCAAAAGGTGTCACAATTAATTATTTTTTAAAATTTTGACTTTAGAAAGAATAGATATATGGGAAGTTCTGCTTTCAGTTAGTGTCTAAAAGCTTCTGAGGGAGTGAGTTGTTGATTTAAATGATTAACTGAAGCTTACCATATTCAGAACTTTGGGTTGAACAGACAAAATGTTGGTTTTCTTCCTGGTTGCTAACCTGGTCAATTATTAAAAGGACAAGAACTAGGAAAAGTTTTAAAAGATGGTTTTTGACTCTCATATGCTTCCTTATGTTTTATTAAACTTTAAAGTCCTCCAATTGTTTGACCTAAGCACAAGTCAGAGTTTCCTTGAGGCAATGCCTTTTAGATCTTTTTTTTTCCTTGTACAATTTTTATTGAGATGTAATTCACATGCCATAAAATTCATTCTTCTCAAGTATACAATTCAGTGGGTTGTGGTATATTCACACAGTTGTGCAACCATCACTTCCATATAATTCCAGAACATTTTCAGCAGCTGCAAAGGAAACTCCGGGCCATGAGCAGTCACCCCTCAGTCCCTTGCTCTTCCCAGGTGCTGGTAACCCCTCCTCTATTTTCTGGCTCCATGAGTTTGCCTATTTTGGACATTTCATTTAAACAATGTCAAGGGCAGCCCGGGTGGCTCAGCAGTTTAGCGCCGCCTGCCTTCAGCCCAGGGTGTGATCCTGGAGACCCGGGATTGAGTCCCACGTCAAGCTTCCTGCATGGAGCCTGCTTCTCCCTCTGCCTGTGTCTCTGCCTCTCTCTCTGTGTCTCTCATGAATAAATAAAATCTTCAAAAAAGTAAATAAATAAACAATGTCGGAAAAGATGTATTCTTTTCTGTCTGGCTTCTTTCGGCAGGAGGCTTTCAAGGTTTACCCATGTTGTAGCATGCATCAGTACTTTGCTCCTTTTTATGGTCAGATAATATTCACTGTGTGGATATACAACATTTTATGTGTTCATCAGTTGATGAGCATTGGTTGCTTTACTCTTTGGCTATTACAAGTAATGCTGCTCTAAATGTTTGTGTATAAGTTTTTCGTGGACACAAGTTTTTGATTCTCTTGGGTATATCCTAGGAGAGGAACTAACTGCTGGTTCACATGGTAACACTATTTAACTTTTTGAGGGACCACCAAACAGTTTTCCAAAGTGGCTGTACCACTTTATATTCCCACCAATAATGTATGAGAGCTCCAGTTTCTCCAAACATCCTTGCCAACATTCTTAGTGTCCCATACTATCTCTATATAGCAAGGTTCCCCCCCCCCGCCTCATTCTGAGTAGAATTATTAGGGCTTGAGAAGAAATTACCCCAAAGATGGCAGAATTCAGTGCCTAGACCATAACCAACAAAGACAACTTCCCAGGGAGAAAACAGAAATGAAACGGCCCTTCTGAGAGCTCACCTGCTGCAGATCAGCGAGGGAATACAGGTGGATCTGTTGAAGGAGGTATTCTCTGGGGAAAATTCTGAAAACAAGGACAGAAACATGAATGAACTGTGGTGCTGACACAAAACAAGTTTTGTCTCATTTAAGACCCCTTTCCTCTGCCTTCTTCCCTTTCCACCAATACTCCTTCCAGAATTCTCTGAGAAACCTCTTAACAATACACCTTTTCTTTCTAATACAAAGATGGAAGTAAAAGTTTGATCTTTTTTTTTTTAATTCCTAAATGAGTTTATTTCCAGACAAAAAGGAGTAATGCTCTGTTTTGTTTTAACTCAAGTGTAGATGACATACAGCATTCTGGTAGTTTCAAGTATTCAGCAAAGTGATAGAACAGTTATATACATGATGAAGTGACCACCATGATAAGTCTAACTACCATCTATCATCATACAAAGTTGTTGTATATTATTAACTTTATTCCCTGTGCTGTACATTGTATCACTGTGTCTTAGAAGTAGAAGTTTGTACCTTTTAATCCCCCTTCCTCTCTGTTACCCTTCACCCCACCTCATTCCCCCTCGGCAACCACCATATTACTCTCTGTATCTATGAGTCTGTTTCTGTTATATTTTGTTTGCTTTTTTAGGTTCCACACATAAGTGAAATTATGCGGTATTTGTCTTTCTCTTATTTCACTTAGTATTATACCTCTAGGTCCATCCATTTTGTTGCAAATGAAAAGTTTCATTCTTTTATTATGGCTGGGTAATATTCCATCGTATGTGTATACTACCTCTTCTTTATCTATTCATCCAAAGATTGGCATTTGGGTTGCTTTCCTCTCCTGCCTATTATAAATAATACTGCAATGAACATAAGGCTGCATATTCTTTTCAAGTTAGTTTCTTTTCTGTGGATAAATACCCAAAAGTAGAGTTGCTGGATCACATATTTTTAATTTTTTTGAGGAACCTCCATACTATTTTCCATGGCGACTGTAACAAATTACATTGCTACCGGTAGTGTAGAAGGATTCCCTTTTCCCCACATCTTCACCAATATTTGTTACTTGTCCTTTTGATACCAGCCATTCCGATAGCTGTGATATGTCATTTAATTTTCATTTACATTTTCCTGATAATTAGTGATGTTGAGCATCTTTTCGTGTGTCTCTTGGCCCTCTTTGGAGAAATGTCTTCAGATCCTCTGCCTATTTTTTAAATTGGTTTGTTTTTAGGATAATAGGCTGTGAGTTCTTTATATATTTTGGATATTAACCCTTTATCAGTTATGTTATTTGCAAATATCTTTTCTCATTCAGTAGGTTACCTTTCCATTTTGTTGATGGTTTTCTTCACTGTACAAAAGCTTTTTACTCTAACGTCCCATTTGGGTTTTGGGTTTTTTTTTGCTTTTGGTGCCCTTGCCTGAGGAGACAGATCCAAAGAAATATTGCTAAGACCTACATCTGAGAACCTACTGCCTATATTTTCTTCAAGGACTTCCATGGTTTCAGGTCTACATTTAAGACTTTACTCCATTTTGAGTTTATTTTGTATATAAGAAAATGATCCAGGGACACTTGGGTAGCTCAGTCAGTTAAGTGTCTGCCTTCAGCTCAAGTCATGATCCCAGAGTCCTGGGATGGAGCCTCACATTGGGCTCCCTGCTCAGGGGAAAGCCTGCTTCTCCCTCCTCCACTTCCCCCTGCTTTTGCTCGCTCGCTCTGTCAAATAAATAAAATCTTTTTTTTTTAAAAAAGGTTCAATTTTATTCTTTCCCATGTAGTTGTCCAGTTTCCCCAACACCATTTATTGAAGAGATTATCTTTTCCTCATTGTATACTCTTGCCTCCTTTGTTGGGCATTAACTGAACATATGAGCATGGGGTTATTTCTGGACTTTCTATTCTGTTCATTAATTAATGTGTTTGTTTTTGTGCCACTGCCATAATATTTTGATTACAATAGCTTTGTAGTATAGTGGGAGTTTGGGGCGTAATACCTTCTGCTTTGCTCTTCTCAAGATTGCTTCGGCTCTTCAGGGTCTTTTGTAGTTCCATATAAACATTAGGATAATTTGTACTAGTTCTGTGAAAAATGCCATTAGTATTTTCATAGGGATCCCACTGAATCTGTGGATTGTAGCTAGTAGATTTCTTCCAATCCATGGTATGTATGTCTGTCCATTTATTTGTGTCATCTTCAATTTCTTTCATCAGTGTTTTACAGTTTTCAAAGTACAGGTCTTTCATTTCCTCAATTAAATTTATTTCTAGGTATTTTATTCTCCTTGATGCAATTGTAAATGTGATTGTTTTCCTAATTTCTGATAGTTTTGTTAGTGTATAAAAATGCAAGAGATTACCGTATATTAATTTTGTATCATGCAATAGTATTGAGTTCATTTATTCTAATAGTTTTTTAATGGAGTCTTTAGAGTTTTCCATATATAGTGTCATGTTATTTGCAAATAGTTTTATTTCCTCTTTTCCAGTTTGGATGCCTTTTATTTATTTTTCTTTAAATGACTATTATAGCTAGGATTTCCAATACTATGTTGAATATAAGTGGTAAGAGTGGGCATCTTTGTCCTATGCCTGATCTTGGAAAAGACTTTAGCTTTTTACCATTGAGTATGTTATTTGTGGGTTTGTCATATATGGCCGGCCTTATGGTGAGGTATGATCCCTCTGTACCCACTTTGCTGACTTTTTACCATAAGTAGATGTTTAATTTTGTCATGTTTTTTCTGCATCTACTAGGATGATATACCACATTAACAGAAAGAAGGGTAAGAATTATATAATCATTTTGAGTTTGTAGATATTGAACCATCCTGCATTCCTGGAATAAATTCCACTTGATCACTGTCAATGATCCTTTCAACTTCAATGTATAATTGAATATGGTTTGCTAATAGTTTGTTGAGGACACCTGCATGTATGTTCATCAGCAACATTGACCTGTAATTTTTTCTTCTGGAATGTCTTTGTCTGGTTTTGGTATTAAGATAATGCTAGCCTCCTAGAATACATTTGGAAGTGCTCCTTCTCTTCAATTTTTTGGGAATAGTTTGAGAGGCATAGGTGTTAGCTCTTCTTCAATGTTTGGTAGAATTCACCCATAAAGTCATCTGGTACTGGACTTTAATTTGTTGGCGGTTTTTTGATTACTGATTCAATTTCATTATTAGTAGTTGGTCTGTTCAGATTTTCTATTTCTTCTTGATTCAGTCTTGGAAGACTGCATGTTCTCTAGGAATGTATCCTAATCTTTGATTCTACTGTAATCAAGGTGCTAGTGACCCAGACTTGAGGGCCAGAGTATGAGGTTTCTTGCACTAGCTGTATTCCTTACAAGCTGTGTCATCTCAGGCAAGTCCTAAATCCATCTAACTTCAGCTTCTTCACTGTTTAATAAAGATGAATGAATACAGTGTCTTTAAATATCTTTCCAGTTCTGTGCCTAAATTAATAGATTTTGGAGTCAAGAAAATTGATTGGTATGGCAACCTGTGTGTCTTTGTCTAATAGCTTCTATGGCTTTCATTAATGGGGACAGTGATGTTGAATATCACATTAATGAATTATCCTTTTACATATATAGTGATGAATTTTAGTACATAGATACAGATGAGAATAATGGAATAAAATATTTCAAATTGGGAGTCCCTGACAAAGTCTAATATCTTTAGCTGCTGTCAGTTCACAGCATCTGGGTAAATGACAGTAAATAGGAAAAAACAATGGATTATGGACAAGCAGATAGGTACCAAAGTGTTGATGGTTATAACCCTCCCCTCTTCCCCCAACACACATGCACTCCCCAAACAAAAACTCATGGTGCTTGCTAGCATTTTTTTTTCTCTCTTATGTACTACTATGCAATTTTCTTGTATCCTAAAGGAAAGAAACAACCAATTTATTTAATTAATGTTTATGATTGTCCACTATATACCAAGCACTGTGCCAGGCACTAGGTAGATAATTATGAATAAGATAGTCCCAGCACTGAGTTCAAGGAGCATTAAGTCAACTGAGGAAAAGATATATAAACTGGTAACTGAGAATTACGACTTATGCACAGGAAATATATTTTTAAAGTGGCCTAGAATGTTGGATCTCAATCCTGTCTATTAAAATCACATGGGGGAGCTTTTAGAAAATAACAGGGCACAAGCATGGGTAGAACCCAGAAATCAGTGTTAAAACAAAACAAAACCTCTCCTGGTGATTAGTGCAGCAAAGGTTCAGAACCACTGGCCTAACAGCTAGTTTTCAGTCTTTCAGCTAAGTCTGTGTGGAACATATGTGTGGAATAGGAAACCTAGGACCGTCTTAGTGTGGGGCACCTAGGGTAGTGATGGAGGATAATCTAATATGGGGACACAGGATGTTTCAGCATGGTTCAGTGGGAGGAATAATCTTCCAACGACAATTGCTTAATAATGAAATCCCTTAAATAAAGTACCATGAAAGCAATGTGGCAGAAGGGCTAAGAAATGGAGACAGAGTGGATCAAGTAAGTAGGCTGGAAAATTATTTCAAGATTAGCTTCTGCCTCTTCTGTTTTGTACAAACTTAGGTCAGCTGGACACCGTGGGAGAAGGAAAGCCACTGAAATGGACTGCAGCAAGAACAAATGCAGGGTAGTGTTCTCTTGATGTTTTGCCACTTAGTTCTTTCTGCTCTAAAATCCTAAAACTTCAACAGAGTACAAGGAATTAAAAAAAAATAAGTATAAATTTACAAACTAAATCATACTGGTATACTTTATACTTCTACTAGAGCATTACAGCCAGTTGGTTATCCAGTTAACAGTTACTGGGTGTGTAAAATAAGCCAAGTGTTGTGTTAAGTGCTGTATGTATCAATGAACATGGTTGATGAGCAACAAAGAGAATTTGCAGATTCTCCATACTAGGCTGGGTTCTTCTTGCTTCCAAACACTGTTCATTAATTAACTCTTCTTCTCACACTAACCAACTTTGTGCACGGTCTGCTAAAGTTACCATGTATTTATTTACGTTTCTGTGTATAAATAGATTTCACATGTTTGTTTCCTCTCCCCGGAGAAG